AACCACACTCCAAGTTAGGGTGCTGGTGGTGTGACTTGACCTGTCTGTGGTGGCTGCCCGGAGCTGGGTCTTGCCAGCCGTGGCATCGGCGAGGTTTCTCTGGGGTTTCCTGTTCCTGACACATCTTTTGGCAGCCCTGAAAAGTTTTTTTGTCCCCCAAGCAAACAAGGAACATGTATCCTTTTTGGGTTTTTTTTTTTTTTTCTTTTGAGAGGAGGAGACTCGGGACAGAGCGGCGGGGCAGAGTGATTTCTGCCCATCTCAGTGCTTTCTGCCCCTCGCTGGCACACTATAAGGACCAAAGCATCCCCCCAGCCTGTCTGGATCTCCCCTCTTCTTTCTAAGACCAGCCTTGGCAACGCAAGGGTAAACCTCTGCCCACTCCACGCTTCCCAGAAATGCTGCATGGGCTGGAAATGTGCATCCAACCGTCGGCAAAACTGTTTTCTATCAAACCTCCTCTGCCTATGTTTACTTAAATAATTCCCTGAAGGGTTTTTCAGCATTGCAGATGTCAATGCCGTAGCCCATGAGGAGGAAACCAACCTTGCAGCTCCCACTCTGGCCATGAGACCCTTCTGAGCCCCCAACCGCGGCTCCCCACCTCTGCGGATCGTGCCGTAGCTCCCTGAGCAGACCCGGTGTGTAGTGAGGTTATTTACAAGCAGTTAAAATCATACCCACGATGCTAAAATACATGCTGAGATCATTTTATTTCCTCCCGAGTTTGAAACTTTAAGGATGCGCTTGGGTTGGTTTTGTAAACTTTTCTTGGTACCCAGCGAGGGCTGGGACCTTTTCTGGTTTTTAAAGCCAAACTGAGAGGCTTGGGAACACCTTAATGTACAACCACAGGCTTTAGCAAAATGCCAGAGAACACAAGACTCCTAATAATGACACAGGAGAGGACAATGCCAACTATTAGTCCTCCCTTCTGCGGCTTGCGCCAGGTCTCACAGCAAATGTGTCCCTGGAGACATCCTCCATCCTTCCTCCTCTTTGCTCATGGCACATCCAGCCACAGTCTGTCCTCCGAGTATTCATCTCTCACAACCAGCTGAGCATCCCGGAGCTCCCAGGAGCCGGACAGGCTCCCGTGCTCAGCTCCAGGTGCCTTTTCCAGTTGCTTGAGCTGAGCCGAGTTCATTGGAAAACTGTTTAATACTGGTGTGGATATAGGTTAATATGCTTTGCTTGATGTATGTCATAAAGTTACAGTCTTGCAGTCCAGACTAGGCTAGATTAGGTCCAGTTGGTTTTTCTTTCTTTTTTTTTTCTTTTTTTATGATGGAAAGAGGTTCAGTTTACATGGAGATAATTAGCTGTCCTGATCTAGAGCCTCGCGTGAGCACAGTGGACGCTGTAGGTCATCAAGGACCGCAGGTAGGTGCAGCTGGGGCTGAAACTCCCCCAGTGTTACCTGCACAGAGGCTGAGCCGCCTGCTTACAACTCAGGGTTCAGGAGGATTTTCCAAAATGGTGAATATGTAGAAGCACTGAAACAACAGAAAGGAGAGGGGCCCAAAGCCGGCGGCAGTTCAGCACAGGAGGAGTGCTGGCATCAGCTTCGGGTGATTTAACAACACCACGATGGAGAATGCTGTCAGGCAAACGGTCCCCAACAGCAACAACACAACAGCAAACTTTTTTTCATCAGAATATCCTCCTAGGTCAGATCCTGGCATCTGTTACACACAAGGGTAAGTCAAGATGTGTTTGGGGACCTAATGCAATCGTCACTCAAGCGATGAGAAGCACCTACACGGGGAGAAGTGGCTGATGTGTCACGAGATGGACTCCAGCAGCAGCTCATCGGGTGGCATGGGGGGGATTTCCATGCTGTTTATCCGGCCAAAGAACTTGGGAAGAGACCAAAACTTCAAGCGTGGAAAATTTCTCCTCTTCATACGGATGTTGTGGCCGGTTTCGCTGATGGAGAAGCTGCTGCCCCGGCGCATGAAGCGAGCCCGAAGGGCAGACCAGCTGTGGCCCAGCAGCTGGTCCTGGAACTCGGAGGTCATGAAGTAGTAGAGGACGGGATCCAGGCAGCAGTTGAGGCTGGCCAGGCAGAGGGAGACGGGGTGGAAGCGGAGCGCGCTCCGGTGGACGGCGCAGTCCTGGATGATGTTCTCGATCACCATCATGAAGAAGGGGAAGTTGATGTGGTAGGGGGTGAAGCAGATGAAGAAGACGGCTGCGCACATCAAGACCATGCGCAAAGCTTTCTGCTTCTCGCTGGTGTTCTGCAGCTGCGTCGGACAATCCCGCAGCGACTGCCGCATCTTCCAGGTGCAGCAGGCGATGATGCCGAAGGGGATGACAAACCCAAAGAGTTCTGCCACCGTCACCAGCGCGATGGAGGCTCCCGGGCTCAGCTGCTTCACCCCCAGGTCGGAGAAGCAGGTGTTGGTGCTGTTGGACAAGGCTGGGCTCCTCACCACGAGCAGGGGCAAGCACGCTGCCCCCACAAAGAGCCAGACAGCCGCGCTGATGGCCGCATCGTACCGCCGCTTCCAGCCCTTGGCTTTGAAGGGATGGAGGAGGAAGAGGTACCGCTGGATGCTGATGCAGGTGAGGAAGCAGATGCTGGCATACATGTTGAGATACTTCAGGTAGAAGCAAACCTGGCAAAGAAAACTCCCAAAAGGCCAGGTGTGGTTGATGTAGTAGTACATCCGCAGTGGCAGCGAGAGGACGTGGGCCAGGTCAGCCATGGCCAGGTTGATCATGAAGATGACGGCTTTGCTCTTCTTGCTGATGAAGCGGCACAGGACCCAGAGGGCAGCGCTGTTGGCCAGGAGGCCGGGGATGAAAATGATGGTGTAGGTGGCAGCGTAAAGGGTGGACTGGAAGGACATCTGGGGGTCGGTACAGTTCCCGGTGGACGTGTTGTTCTCCATCTTGGTTGAGTCTCTTTGCTCACAGAGTGATGGAGGTGGGTGGAGGGTTTCTGCAGGGAGGAAAAAAAGACGCTGTAAAGCCAAAAACTCTCCAGCATTTCCCTGGGGTGAAAATTTCAGCTCCCTGGGATATTTCAGGACCACTTTTATTGCTGCTATCATATAGTTTTCTGTCAAATTAGTGCTCTCTGGTATATCTACAAGTGATTTGGGTGGGTCTGTAAATAAATAGGGACTTTAAATCAGTCTAGCCATTGTCTTTTCAGATCAGTGCAGCAGTCCGATGCGAATCGGCAGCAGGGGCAATAATTAGCATCATCAAACGATGCTGCTGGCAGGCAGCTGAGCAGAGCAGAGGCCGGTGGGAGAGGTGCAGACAGATCTATCAGGGCTCTGGCTCCAGATTTCAGGCTGGATTTATAAGCTAATCACTGGCTGAACACACGCCAGTCGCTCTGCTGGTCCCGCTAATTTAATTCCGGCACTCATGGCACATTGTGCAGGCATCATGTTGTAGCAACAGAAATTATCCTCCAGCAACAGTTCAGGACATGAAGGAAGATAATTACATTTGTCTTTTAGTTAAAGCAGGAATTCTTTTCATCCATTTACCCGTTCCACCCCATCCAGCCAGCGCTGCGGGTACCAGCGGGTCGGGGGGAGGTCAGAGGTGCGGCTCTCCGGAGGGGTGATGGATTTTGCCATTCGGGAGCAGAGCCCGTGGGGAGGGAAATGCTCTGCTCTTTTGGGAAGAGGCAATTCGGAAGCACCAGGTTACAAACCAAGGGTTTGTAGCGTCATCTGCAACAAAACAGGGCAGTTTTTCCCTTGGAAAAATTGGGTTGAAGGCTCTTCTACCCTGTTCTTCCTCACCTCTGCAGCTCTTCAGAGGGATGGGCACGTTTTCAGCCTCAGGAGGAAGGTTTTGTATTTATATACACATATATAGGCACATATATAGAGAGATAGCTATAAAATATAGCCAGCAGCCTCTCAGCTGGCTGCCCGCTGCCTGCACCTCGGATGGGAGAAGGGTCGGTGCCTTCACCCACATTTCTGTGCGTGTGTGGTGCTTACACCCTGCTTTCCGAACTGACCCCCTGCCAAGCTGCCTTCTCCCATTTGCTTCTTTCTCCAGGGTTTGGCTGCAAATAAAAAAGCACGTCTGAAATGAAACCTGGGCTAAGGCACTTTTTGGCTGCTGACTGTGCTCGAGCTGGCAGCCCCAGGTCAGGATGTTTCTGATTTCTCTGCTGGGATGGGGCATGGCAGCAGGGACATCTGGCAGGAGAGGACAGCGGGAAATAAATCCCTTTGGTCCCTGCAGCATCCTGATGTGCTCCTCACGCGCCTGCCAACCCACGAGGGGCTCATGCTCAGCCGGTGCACTTTGCACCGAGTCTTTCATCCTGGAAAAGTATCTGGCAGGAGACCTTATCTTCACATCCCTGCAGAAAATAGGGAGGGAAAACTGCCAGGGAGTGTGGGAATACAGATATTCCCAGCTCTTGTCACCACAGAGGTGACACTTGCAGCTCTGGGCTTGCAAAAAGGATTATAGAGTGCCTGGTGTCCCTGTGCATTTCCTTCCTGCCACGCATCCCAGCCCAAATCCTGGAGACAGGACCGTGGGGAGCCTCCTTCCCAGTTTCCTCCATTTTTTGTCTCTCCCTGGGAGCCTGGGAGAGGCTGTTTCTCAGCGGGAGGGCGAGCATCACTTGTGGTACCAAACGCTTTCCGTTTTTGGGTGGCAGCACTGTCAGGGCTCCTGGCAAGAAGCGCCCCACCAGCAGCCTCCATTCTGGGCTCAGGGCACTGCTAATTCACTACAACACTCCCTGAAAGGGTGGATTTTTTAATTTATTATTGTTTTTCAGTTTTTGCCTTGCCCCAAGCCCCCCTCCACCTCCCCCTGCATTTGGCCGTCGGTGATGCTGATGTCAGTGATGCTCCCATGGGCTTTGGTTCAGGAACTTTATAAAGCTTGTACAAAATACTTCTTGCCATTGCTTGATTGTTTTCCTCTTTCATCCGTGCATGGATTTTCATGCAGGCGGGAGTAGCAGGAGATTTTTAAGTGGCCAGCTGCAGGCTGAAATTACAGAGGGGAGACCAGTATCGCTGCCAGAGCAGTCAGCCCCCTGCTCTGGCGATTCATTCAACATCCAGTAACTTTGCAATTAATTAGGAGGCCAAGGCAGCTATCAAAACACCCATGTTTCTTTTTCTGAATGTGTTTTCCTGGCGGCGTACGTGGCTGTCATTATTGGAAATCACCCGGCTACTCTGAATCACCCGGCACCCCACCCAGCCCCGCGCTGCTGCCGTGCTGCAGTTACTGCTCCTGGATTCACTGGGAAACTCGCTCTCATCTTTTCCATGGGTTGGCTGGACAAACTGGGATCAAGATGTGCTCAGGAGGGGCTGAGAAGAGCCCCAAAGTTGGGGTGTAGCTGGGGCAGAACTGTCTCCCCCCAACCCTGCTCCAGCCTGGGATGCTGGGGGAAAAGCAGCCTAGGGAAAAAAAATTTTTAGAAATCCACTTTTGGCTTGAAATAAGTTCTGAAGTATTGGAGGCTTTCTGGAATTTGTGTTTTAAGCAATAATTTTGTTTGTTTAGTCCAGGCACTAATAGGAAATATGTAAACAGAGCTGATGGGTTATGGCAGTTTGTCAGTCGTGACAAAACTGAAGTCTTTTGGGTAAACCAGGTTTTCCCCGCGTGCAGCAGCCGGTGCGGATGCACCGGGCGAGACAGAGACGTGGGCACCGGCAGAAGCTGCTGAGGATGTTGCACCAGCCTGATAACATCTCTTGCAGAAGAACTAAAAAAACCCAAGCGATAACATTTCTAAAAACTGCCATAGCTTCAATCTACTGAACAAAACACGCAGCAGAAACGGAGCTTACCTTCCTGCGGCTCCCGTCCCTCGGGGGGGTGACATCCATGCTAGGGAGCAGGAGGAACGCTCTCACTGCTTTTTATTTCCTACCGATTTCTTCGCAGCAATCCCAGCCCCGGCGACTCCTCGTTCGAGTTCCACATGTTTTCGGAGCGCTGGAATCCTGCCGGCATCTGCAGCCCAGCACAGTGGCTGCAGAACAGGAAATCCTGTATTTTGTTTCTCTCCACCGCACCGAACGTGTGCAGTTAATGACGTTAAAACAACTGGGAAGGCGGTGACGTCGTTGGATCCAACGGCCGTGCCACAGGGACCTCGGACCATGGATTTCTTTCCTCCTTTTTGCACGGACGTTGTGTTAGGGGACAGTGTCCTTCGGGCGAGCTGCTTCTGCTTTTATCCCCAGTCACTTACCATTTGCTTGCTAAAAACCATAAAATACAGAAGGAAAAATCTTCCAGTAAGTGCTCGCTAAAGGAAACCAAAAGCCGTGCCAGTGTGAGTTACTGGAAGGTAGCAATTTCCCTTCGTTTTCTTGGAAGTTTGGTTAACCTCAGACTATCAAGGCTATAGGCTGAAGCTGAGGGTTTAGACTATTTCTGAAATAATTTGATGGTTTAAGGTGCAGATTTTCCCAAAACACTATTTAAAAAAAATAAAAAAGATGTGCACCATTCCCAATCTTTTTTTCTTCTTTGTTTGCCTCCTTTAATTCCTTTTCTGTGTGTGTATATATATATACACACATACATACATATATAATTTTTAGTTTTTCTACTGGCTGCTGAGCGTGACCATCTTCTCTCTGAATTGATGGAAACTGGCAGGCATACGTTGTAGTGTCACTTATTATGGGCTGCCTCATTTCCAGCTGCACATTTTCCCTGATTTACAGTGCAACATCTCACAGCCCAGGGCTTGCAGAGATAACAGAGCTGTCGGCACCTTTCCCTTTCTTACTGTAGGAAGTGTATACACGGAACTCTTCTTGCTCTGTTCATCTATTTTCTGTAATTGGTCCTATGACCTTGCAAAACTAAGAAACATAACTGTAGGAGAGAAATGAAAGAAGGAAGCTATTATAACCTTTAATTGTGGAATAAGTCGCCAGCGCGGGGTCTGGGATGGAGTGTGCCTCTTTCCCCCCCACCGGCTACGCGATTGTCAGGTTTTCTCCGTGCTGGCAGCGATGCTGAGAGCAGGGACCCAAGCGCGGCGGCATGGTGATGCGCTCCCTTGCTGTAAAGTGATGCTTCATGATGGTATTGTAGAGAATGGAGAAGAGGATCCTTGGCCTCGAGCGTCCTGTGGTCAGTGGGATGCGGTTACTCAAATCCGTTGGTCAATGTCCTCATGAAGGCAAAGGCAAGACCAGTTTCTGTAGTTTATAGACATGTCCGTGAGCTTCTTTGTTATCATTTGCTTATTCATCCTTTAAGTGTAGCTTGTGGGCCAATAAGTACTGGTGAAGCCCCATGATGCTTGTCTCAGCCAAGGGCAAAGCGATTTGGAAGATGCAAGAGCTGCTTGCTGTTCCAGGTTTTCTTCTCGTGCATCTTTTTCAGCAGCTGATGCTGATCCTTGGCAGAAAGACCCATGCTGCAGTATTGTCAGAGTGTGCACAGATGCGTCGAAGGGAGCCCCAGCCCTCTCCAGAGGTTAAAGGTTTATCCCAAAGGGAAGTGGCTGGTTTATCGGGATATCCTGCCCAGGACATCCTACTTCTGTGTCCCCAGCACACATCCAGGGCTGTACCCCGCCGGCTCTGAGCCCTATTTTTAGGAACGTGTTTGCAGCAGGGCTGCTGGGGATGGAGAGGCCGGGGGATGTCGGACTGTCACGAGGGTTGGACTTGCACCTCGGGCTTCATAGTCACGTTGATTCCTTCCTCTGCTCATCAGGTTTTTGGAGTCCTTTTGCAGACAATCACAGCCTTCCTGGCTGTGAAAGGCTGGATTGACGAGTCCCCAGCCTCTTCCTTTAACACGCACTAATCAACCTCTCCATCCTCCTTCCAGCCACATGCAGGGTTTTGTTCAGTATTTCTGCTCTTCTGGCTCATTCCCAATACTGAACACCCATCTTACGCTATGCAAT